CGAAGAAGTGGCTGTATGTGGTATGTTCTATCGGGGTGAACTGCCTTCCTATGGCAAGGTCTCTGCGAAGAACTGCCCCGAATCTCCTCTAGTCACCCGTTTTATTATTGTTTATTTCACAATATCAATTCCCTGAAATGCATCATCTGACGGGATGCATTCTTGTGTAACCGGACCAGATGGTGTGCAAAATTCCAGGATAGAAGGTGGGGAAGAAGGAATTAAAACATCTTAAATTTTTATTAAATGTTGCGTTATTGAGTATATTTGCAGGATGTTGAAGATTGTAACCTTTTTAGGTTATATTTATTTTATTCCCGTTTTTCTTATTTTTAATTATTTTAAAAATCCCGATAAAAGTTGAATAATTAAATTACTATATGTTTATTTAATGTGGACAGGATGAAAAATTAAAAAGGAGTCCTCCAGATTATCATATTATCACATAACTGTCCATAATATAACTGTATAGAAATCAGTTCAGTCGATTTCATGTGATACTCGAAAAGATAGACGTGAATTCGATTTTATAGACGTTGTATATAAGATAACCTATTTTAATCAATCTATTAAAATAACTTTAAAACATGCATCCTAAAAACAAGTAATTAAATAAAAGACTTCAATAAAAGACTACAGCTATAAGTTCGAATCTGAACCGAATTTGATTCCTCAGTCACAAATTTCTTCAACTTTCCTCAAGTAATTTGGATACTCCGTACTCACGAGTTTCCATTTTCGTTTTGAACATATTCTATTAGGTACAGAAATTCGTAATTAAAGTTCGAATTTCAAAATGATATAACTGGGACAGTGACTTTATATTTTACATTGAAAGTTTAATGAAATTTTACTTGCAACAAATTTTATTTTCAAAATGTTTACTAGGGCGATAAAGAGATAAGGTAGTAAGGATAACTCAAAATGTCTTAAAATTTACTATACACACTATACATTTTGTGGTTACGCGCTTGGATCCAGATTGACGAAAGTGTCATTAGTTAAAACGTCGTATTTTCGTGACGTAGTTAAATACGAAAAATTCACGACGTATCGTAGCTGCAATTTACGAAGCTCAACGTAACTGGATTTACTATTTACGAAAAATATCACTGATCTGATTTCGGGAGTATACTCTTTCGTTCAACAGTCGGAAGTTTCATGTTTCTGAGCGGCTATAGATAGAACTCTACGTACAGCAAAGTTCGAATCATTGAAATTTTGGTTTAATTATATTTTTTTGTAACATTATTATTTTTATTTTTCGAATCGTTAGTATTACACACAATTTCCTCATGCGCTCATGTTTGGTACGCTTCAAATGCAACAATACCATCACATATTAAAATGAAAATGTTTGAAATAATAAAAATAACCAGCAATTATTTACTGTGGCATCGTCACAATACCGGGCTACAATTTTTAATCATATTTTTTACTTATTTAATTTTAAATATATGTTCTCAATCTCAAATTTTTAGTAGTATCTTGCCCCTGTACGATATACTTTTCCCGTTAGCAATAGAATTGCGTAGATCATGTATCTAACTCCTTACAGAGGGGAGAATTTTTGAATTGAAGTAACGTGACTTCCGGTTTTTATCGTAACTTTGTACATTAATCGGAGCCTGCTTTCCGGGACCTTTACAGATTGGTCTCAGCTTTCACTTGACTAAGTCAGTTCTCGATATTAAGGAAAAACAGACAACGTGACAGACAGCACTAGGAAACTATAAGTCTATAATTTTTGAAAATTGTGTGAGGCCTTAGACAGGTCTGAACCTCACAGAAATTCGCGTTAAAAGAATTTTTTAAAGAAAAAAAACGAAGCTAAAATAATTTTTTTCATGAAAACGCGACTCGAACTTATTAACAATAGAAGAATGTATGTCCTACGATCGATATCTTTGGTTGGGGAATCGAATTAAACTTCGATTTTGACCGTGATGTAAGCTGATAACTCATTACACTTAGTAGTGATCAAACTCTTAGATAGCTAATACGAAATAAAGCAAACAATCGGAATGAAGGATTGAGGATAGAAGTTAATAAAAACTCGGAAATTCAGGACGTGACGACTTTTTCTCCCGAATGTTCCAGTATCAGACTAATTGTTGTGTGTGTGTGTCTCGTGTTCATCTTCCTCTCCGTCTCCCGTCGTCGGATCGACATTTTCCCATTACGCGAAGTCGACTTTATTGTCCCGTAGTTCGAGACGTCGAAGGAACTCTCATTTTCAAATCAGGGACAATCCTTTTGTGATTGTCTTGGAAAGAAGATGCAGACTCAGACCTCCTCCGACTTTGAACTTACGAGATCGCTGAAATCTTGTATGCTTCTTTCCTGTCAAATAAACAGTTAGTTGTAACCGTATAGTCTGCCTTGGTACCGATTGCATCCACATACGACTCGTTAAGATTCTCGTCAGTCTTGACCATCGCGTACCCAACAGAGACTTTACAACACCACTCTTGGATATGAAACTTACAAATGCTTATAAGCTAAACACTAAATTTTCAGATGCCCATTTTTTGAAATCGCTTGAGAAGTGGATTCTGTTATTTAGACACAGAAAATTTTGTGTTTATCTATGAGAGTATTCAAAATATCTCATCACCTCTCAGCACCTCTGTTAAAAATCTCCGATTGCTTTCAGTTGTTGCCAGCGTGCTTCCCGTAAACTGTAAGCGTCTTTTTTTGGTGCTGGATAAACTAGCAAACAAGATGTCAGCCACCGCAAGGCTCTTAACATCTCTATTTTTTGTTGAAAATTTTAAATTTATTTATCGATGAATAAGCCACGAATAACTTATTATTCGGTTAGTACTATAATTGAATATTTTAATATTAGATTTAAAATTTTTGTTTCTACGCCTATCACGCTCTGATTGGTAATTTATATTATGACTGAATCAACTTTAACTAATGAGAGTTTCTTCAGAACCATCTGGTCTGGATTTTCCCGCAAAGAACAGATCCACGTGATCGAAGTCAGAATATAAACAAACGTTAAAAATAGCTATATTATTTATCTTAGAGCGTATTTCTACTAGTATGCCTGTTATATCACTTTACTAAGACAATAGGATTTCTTAACAGAAGCTTCCAGCTGAAAAATTAACCGCGAAACTTATTACTTTCGGTTATAGCGTAATTGCAGGAAAAAATTAACTAATCGCTTATTATAGTGTATTATCGTATAGAAAAAAATTATAAAAAGTGTCAGATATTCACTATTTGAAGCAGAAATATATATCGATAGACTTTGACGCATCGCTTTACAATAACAATCGACTCCTCTCCCGTTTAAGTAATTTGAGAAGTAGGGTGAATTATGGTAGTAACTTCTCCCCCGCTCTAGATAGATAGCTGCAGTTTGTTTTGTTTAAAAAAAAAATAGATGTGTCTAACTAAAAGATTACAAAGTTCAGAGAGTCTCTACATACCTCGTTTTCATTTGTACTTTTGCTCGAGCAGTGGAAGTGTTCAAACAACGTTGTCATCAACTGCATCAATATGGAGCATGCACAGTTTTTACTTTCAGACACGAATATAAAAAGAATTATATATGATGACAAATCATCTGAAGGTGAACCTGATATCTGTGAAACAAGAGAGGAAGACACTGATACAGCCACTGACACGCATTCATATAAGCCATTATTCCGTGCTTTTAACTATCAAAGCAATAAAACTAAGCGAAGATAGTAAATGTAAACAAAAACGCCACACACTTTTTCAATTTAAAAGTCTCTGGGTCATAAACACAGTGGGGTGTACAAGGTCATAAACACAGTGGGGTGCCAATTGCTTTTTGTAAGGAGAGAACTAATGCACTTATAACCTTCTGATTTATTTTGTTCGAAAGATAAGAACATATATGTAGCTAACAAATGTTTCAAATAAAACAGAACGTTTACAGTTTTTTAAATTCTTCCCTTTTGCTAAAAAATTTAAAATTTAAGTATTTTTAAAATTTTTATTACATTTAATAATCGTAAACTGTGAGACTTTTGCGGCAAAAATAGAGAAAAAAAATCGATTCTAGCCCGATTTTAAAGCGAGATATCGCAATTTATTATTACACTCAGAGAAGTCTCATTATACTCTGCGAGAAATCGCGTTTGTCCACGCGAGAAATAACAGCGACAAAAATTTTCAAAATTAATTAAGCTAAAACAAATTGCGTTAATTGTACAATTTTTGTTTCTTGCGTAATTATTTCATTTAGGTATTGTTTCAAATGCATTTTTTTGATGAAATTTTGTTAAAATTTTTAGTTATAAATAAAAGAATTTACGCATTCGATAACACGTCGTAAATTGCCAAATTTTTTCTGGGTCACCCTGTGTTTTTTTGATTGCTTCATTTCTTGCACAGAAAACATTTATATCTAAACTATCACCAGAAAATTTTGATGGTTTCTATAATATTTTGAGCGATGTCCATTTTTATATCAGGTGAGCGATTTAAGCTCAACAAACGACTATATGACATTAAAAACTGAAAATAAAATTAATATGTGAAGATCCAACAAAACTATCTGTTAAATATTGAAAAAAAATCATTTTTACGAGTAAAATGAAGTAAAATCCATTTTCTCCGAACATTTACTTCGGAGAAAATCGATTTCGAATTAAAACGACTTATCTGTATACAGATTTACTGAAAAATTGTGCCGATGAATTAACATGAACATTTTTTGTCAATGCGCTGCGAAGAATGTTATAAACATTTATTTTCTATTTTTTTTTTTTTTTTTTTTTTTTNCGAAGATTGTTATAAACATTTGTTTTCTGTTTTCTTCTTTTTGTAATGCAAACGTGGGGTTGTTCGTTAGATTTATTATTTATGTTTGATTGAATTTAGATTTATTTGTTATGTTATTGTGAAGCGTTTACGTCAAGAAAAGCAGAATTAATATTTGCTGCGTATCTTTGCAATAATTAATACCATCGATTACTTTCCTACAATAAAGTTTAATATTTTTTGTTTCGTAGATTTCGCCAATACGAAAAAGAGGAAGTTTGTGTGTGGAAACTGTGGTAAAGCATTCTTTCAGAAGCACCACTTGAAATCTCATAGGATGATTCACACGAGAGAAAAGCCGTTCAGTTGCCAGTTATGTGGAAAAAGGTTCATTGCAAGTTCTACTTTACGAAGGCGCCTGAGGATTCATACCGGAGAGAAGCCTTTTACCTGCGACCATTGCCAACGAAGCTTTAATCAAAGACAAAATCTTGTAAACCATCTTCGCATTCACACGGGAGAAAAGCCGTTTAAGTGCGATTATTGTTTTCGAAAGTTTTCTAACAAAAGTAATTTAAATTCTCACATTAAACGCCATAGCAGAGAGAACATTAATTAACCTAAATATAGTAAACAGTTGTTAAGTTGTAAGGAATTGTTTAGTTCCGAAGTTTACCATTTTTTAATTTTTTTTTGACTTCTTCTTGAAATTTTATTATTGCAGTTGTATTACAAACATAAAATGAAAACATTGTATTATTAAAGTTATAAAAATAAAGAACTTTTGGAATTGAGAGAAAGTGTTTTTATTTATTTTAATTTACAACAGTTTTTTCTATGAAAAAAATACAATAAAAATGTACTTTGTACTATTTATATGATACGATATTTCGAATTTGTTTCTAAATTTGGAATAATTCGGAATTTCAGGTTCTCCATTATATGTCCTAAATCAACGTAAAAAAAATTTAAAAAACTCGTTTTTAAAACAAGAATTTATCGAAGCAGTTATTAGCATTCTTAATACATTCAACTGTGTTACTTCGAACGTTGTTAATAAAACAGAAAAAGTTGAAGTGTAAAATTATGCAGCAAGAGAAAATTGTCAGTTGAATTTTTTTATGGTTTTTTTAAAGTGATACCTTATGTTATGAAACTTTGTAATTTTTCAGGGATTTCTTTGCAAAAGGAACAGCGATATCAATTGCAACTTTCACTTTTTGTTTAGAGATATTACTCTGATATTCCTGTGTGACTAACGAGCAAGTTTCTCAGTTACATAAATAACAGTCAGTGAAATATGCTTTATTATGAAGTTACACTTCCAATTAATATTGCATAGATGTAAACTTTATAAAAACATTGGTTTTTTCTAACTGACGTTCGTGTGATTTCTGACTGACATTCCGAATGGCTTTTATATCTTCCTGAGACGAAAGATGTAACGTGAAAATAAATGCAGAGTTGATGAAAATTGATCTCTACTGAAAAATATAAGATTCGTGTTATGTATTTTTTTAGTGTCATTACTGGATAAAGACTGGAAACTGAAGAGTAATGTGTTTTTACTTATACAATTTATTACATAATTTAAAAAATGAAAGTATATTTTGACTTTAAACATGTTTTCATCAATACCAGTGTAAGTTAAAATTTCATATCTTAGTAAATCATTCAAGTACACACATTTATTTGATCTATTTTTATTAATCAAACTTAATACCTTAAACCGCGTATAAATATAACTCTACAATAAAGTTGAGCGAAAATATTATAAGTGTATTTTTCTAAATATAATAGAATAATTCTAATTAATTTTCGAAAGTGAGTTCTATATCTAATGCACTGTAATGCAGACGATCACTTTGTTTTCAAACACTGCACACACAATATTGTAGAGTGTATTTAAAAATAAAACGGTTATTCCAATAATTTACCGTATCTCAGAAATGATAATATTAAGTACTAGCAGATAAGCAGGACGTTACTCGGCCAAAAAGTAACGATAGCGAAGATTAAGATTATTACATTACAGCCAATCTTATCCGTTTTCACAGAATGCAAAAGTTAGGTCCTTCTGTTTCTGAAGTAATTAAAAAATTTTTGATGGATCTAAAAATATGTTTGATTTCCCGCAAAAATGCAAAAGTCTACATCTACCCCTGTAAATCTTGCACGTCTCTTTCTCTTAACACTTTAATTGTTAATACTTCTATTTTTAACATTTCCATTATTTACACTATTATTCTTAACACTTCTTAACACATTTTATTGTTAACATTTCTTTCGCGGGAAAGTGTTAAATCAATTTCAGGACATTTTCATAATTTTCTGCATGTGTCATTCGTGATTGTTGAATCTTTGAGTATGTGTTTTCTGTAGTTTTTAGTATTTATGACCTGATGCTGTATGGCAATCATGAATCCTTCCGTCTCCCCAAAGAGGCATCCCCGATCTAATCAGCCGTTTGACGCAGTTTTGTCAACAAAATCTGGGCCAGGTAATAAAGTAGCCTGCCATAGAGTGTTTTTCGAGCCCACGATTGCTTGATTGATAGTGTCTGTGCTTTTTATATTGTTGTGCCGTGTCCGTATGATGTGAGTGCAAGTTTAATGGTGTGTTATTTGAGTCTGCTAGAGTTACTGCTTTATGTAACTGTGATGTTTCTTGTTTCTTATAGAAAAACTCTCGCAGTGACTGTATTTGTTTGTAGTGAAGGTTAACTATGTCAATCAGGCCACGTCCGTCTTCTTTACGTGGAAAGGTTAATCTTTCTGTGGCAGATTTAGGATGATGTTGTTTATGCTTAGTAAGTGTTGTTCTTGTTATCCTTTGGAGTTGCTCAAGATCTGTGTAAGTCCAATGTATAATTCCAAAAGAGTATGTGAGTACTGGGATGACATATGTGTTTACTGCTTTAACTGTGTGTTTTGTATTTTACTGTGTTTTGAGAATGCAATAAGTGATAGATGTATTTTGTACATGTATAGAATATGTAACAGCCAACTGTGTTTAACACTGTCGAATGCTTTTCTGTAGTCTATATATGCCTTGTGTATGTTTCTGTTGTTTGTGTGCTTGCCGCAGAATGACTTAATCTATGAGTAACTGTTCTTTGCATCCCCTGTGATTTCTACGGCAACCCTTTTTTTTGTTGTTCTGTAAGAATGTCGTGTTGTTCAACATGTTTGTATATTTTGTTTGTGATACAGAATATCAATAATTTGTAGAGTGTTGAAATACATGTAATTGGTCTGTATTGTGTGGAGTCTGTGTTGTTGTTGTTTTTAGGTTTCGTGTAGGTGATGCCCTGAGTAAGAAATTTTGGCATGTCTTGTGGATTGATGATGATGTGTGTTAGATGTTTAGCTAGTTCCTGGTGCAGTGATGTAAACTTTTTGTACCAGAAATTGTGAATGTTGNATGCCCTGAGTAAGAAATTTTGGCATGTCTTGTGGATTGATGATGATGTGTGTTAGATGTTTAGCTAGTTCCGGGTGCAGTGATGTAAACTTTTTGTGCCAGAATTATTATTATTATATTGTTAATTAATATCAATTTATCTGGATTATATTATAAAAAGAGTTGCGTAGTTAATTACTTAGAAAGTACAGTAAACAAATAATTATTTTTACAAATACTTTTGATTAATTAAATATTTAATTATTAGCGAACTCACAATTAATTGAAGGATCGGTATTTAGTGATAAAGTCACTCGCGTGGACAACTATCGTAAATTATTGTAATTTATGGTAATATAGTATATTTTCTGTTTATATTACTTTTGCATAAACTTTATTCTGGTTGTTTGCTTTATAAATTGAGATCAGAAAAAATATTAAATGTTCTTTCAGTGAAAATAGGGATCATAACAGTAAACATCGTATTTGTTTTCAAATAGACAATGCGTATTAAAACAAGAAATGTATTAACAATATATGTTCAGAGTGATATTGAAAAAGTATGTTTTGTTCAGTTCCCTTCTTTGCACACAACACAGCTATTGTTAAGTTCTCGGATATTTATTTAAATTCTGAGTCGTTGGATTGAATTTTCTGTCTCCCCTGCGCAAAGTACCGTATTTTGACGAGTATAAGTCGCTGTCGAGTATAAGACGCACCCCTATTTTGTTACAGAAAATTTAGAAAAAACTTTTTTAATGGGCGATTGCATTTTACTCGTTTTTTTATTAAAGAATATGACGGATGGGTGAATCGATACCTTTATTAAACTGAAATAATCGTCATTTCTTAATGTAAACTCAGAGGTCACACAATGAAAGTCGACAGAACATGGCGGCAGTGACTCGTGTGTTGCTATTCTGATAATCTAGGTACTCTACCCATTCGGTTGAGGGACCGTGTGCTTAACGGATCACTGCACAGGTTGGTCCCTAGAGTGGACCACTACTGTACATAATTTCACTGTAAAAATGGTTACCTGTCGAGTATAAGACGCACCACGATTTTGAGCCCCAAAATGTAGTAAAAAAAGTGTAACTTATACTCGTCAAAATACGGTAATTTCAAATACTTGTTATTTGAACCGAAATCCTGTAATTTCCGTAAGTATTACACTTTCGTATCAGTAAAATACACTAATACTGTACTTATATAAATATTTTTTAATATTTATAACATGTATTAAGTGTAAAGAATTAAGTCTAGCATATAACATGCACAGCACAATTTTATTTATAAACGAAAACAATTTTCGTTTTTTAAAATACAATGCAAGAAGAGTATATCCATATAACATTGTTACGGAACATCCTCTACATAAGCGTAATAACCTTTCATAAAAATAGTACAAAGCACATTTTTATTCTATCTATTGTCATAGACAGAAAATGTTTTAATTTCGATAACATAAAAATACTTTTTTACAATTTCAAAAATGCTTTATTTCCTTAACATTACTAACAAAGTGTTTTTTCATTTTATGTTTATAATACAACTAAATTAATAAAATTTCAAGAAAAAGTCAAAAAGAATTAATAAATACTGTAGTAATCTTCAGAATTAAATCACACCTAACAAGTTTCAAACTGTTTATTACATTTATGTTAATTAATATTCTCTCTGCCATGCCGTTTAATGTGAGAATTTAAACTTCTTTTGTCAGAGAGCTCTCGAAAACAATAATCGCACTTAAACGGCTTTTCTCCCGTGTGGATGCGAACATGTTTTACAAGATAATCTCTTCGAGCAAAGGTTCGTTGGCAATAGTCACAGGTAAAAGGCTTCTCTCCGGTATGAATCCTGAGGTGCCTTCGTAGAATGGAATCTTGAATAAATCTTTCTCCACATAAGTAGCAACTGAACGGCTTTTCTCCTGTGTGGATGCGAAGATGTTTTACAAGATTTTCTCTTAGTGAAAAGCTTCGTTGGCAATGATTGCACGTAAAAGGCTTTTCTCCGGTATGAATCCTTAGGTGCCTTCGTAGAGTAGAACTTTGAATGAATCTTTTTTCACATAACTGGCAACCGAATGGCTTTTGTCCCGTGTGAATTACCCTATGACGTTGCAAGCTGTATTTCCCAGAGAATCCTTTACCACAGTTTCCACACACAAACTTCCTCTTCTTCGTATTGGCGAAATCTACGAAACACAAAATA